GTTCAGGGCAGCCTGGGTGTCTGGAGGGATGAAGAAGAGCATCAGGAGTAGCAGGAGTGAGGAAAACCAGCCCTAAATTAGGTTACCACATCTCTTCTTTCAAGCAGGTTAGCTGGCAGAGAGACGATCCCTCCCTGATGGGGCAGATGAGAGTGCCAGGCAATTACATCATGGCCTCAGCCCCTGCTTGCAGCAAAAGTTTCTAGCAATTGTGGCTGCAGGGTGAGAGGAAAAAGAGCTTGAACGTGACCTGAGTGGAGCTGAGGGCACCAACACATGAACAGGCTGGCCTGTGGCAAAGCGAGTTGTTTTAGTAGGAGGCAGCAGCAAACACACGACGTGATCACCAGGAGAGGCTCAGCTTTGCACCCACAGCAACAAATTTACCCCTAGATGAATCAAGTCTAAATTTATCAGGTTTCCAAAAGCTTGCTTGTCAGCGGCTCTGCCTGCTTGTCCATGCACAGCTGCCTTGGCGTGATCTGCTCCCAGTTCATGCCTTGGGCATTGCCTCTCCGTTGACATGCCCACAGCCAGACAGCAGAGCCTGCCCCAGCCTGCAGTGAGGCGGCTGCTCTGTTTGCAGAAGGGATGTGCCCCGTTCAGCTCCCGAGGAGGTGTTAACCCTAAGCCTCCCTGCTCCCTAGGACCTTCAGAACTGCACCCCTGGAGAAGGCTGTGGGTCCAGCACGGCTGGAAAGGATGGTTCAGCCAGCGCGAGATGCTCCCCTGAACAGAGAGCGCAGCCCCTTTGGCTTGGTGGAAGTGGCAAGCTGTAGCCCTGGGGAGGGCTCAAGCACCACTCTCACTTTTGGGCAGGCAGGAGATCTCACGCTTTCCCACCCTCTACCTTAACCACAGATGTGTCACTCCTCTCTCTTTTGTGCAAATACCTTTCCCTCCTATAAGGCTTTCCTTATGCAAGTATAAATCTCTCTTCAGATAAGATTTAATGACAAGGTGTTATTCATCCTGCTGGATAGATGGGGAAAGCAACACAGACAAAGGGGCAGTAACTTTCCACATGTCAACACACCCAGAGAAAGGCCGGAGGGGCTGGAGTGGAGATGCTTGCTGGCAGCACTGACCCCAGATGCTCCTGACCAGCCTCAGCACGGTGGCAGGGGCCCAGGGGCTCCTTACCTTCATTCCTCCGGTTGTTGAGCTGGTTGAACTGCTCCGTGAACTCTGTCAGTGACTCCTCGATGGTCTCTGTTCGTGGAACCGAGAGTGAAAACCTCCGCTTGAAGTTTTTCATCTTGTTCATTTTACCTTGTGCTGCGAGGGATGGCAGAGCCCTGTGGGGAAGGGGAGAGAGCAGGCTGAGAGGGTTGGACGATGCACGGGACAGCCCCGCAGCCTCCCGGCTCCTGCTCTTTGGGGCTGGCAGCACTCTGACCCGAATTTCCCCGGCTGGGGATCTGCAGGGGTCCCCAGGGACATCCTCTTCTCCGAGGCACCGCTGCTGTGCCAGAGCAAAAGAGGAGCCACATGGGCACCAGGGGAATCAGGTTCCTCACGTCTTTAAGAGCCGACTGTGGTCAAGAGGTACAAGGGGCTTTTTCTGAGCTAGTTATCAGAGATGAGCCCAGGGCAGGGCTGTGCACACTGAATCATGAGTACCAATACAGGCTGCGCCTTACAGCATCCTTGGAAAGTCCAGGAAGTCCTGGAACAGGGAAAAGCAGGGTAGAAAGAGAAGGAAAACAAGAAAGAGTAAACAGTGATGGAAAGGATTCAATACCACACTCCTCCCTGTACAAGGAGGCACCTCTCCCCTGGCAATTTGGTCTCTACTTTGCCCTTGCAAGAAAGACTTCCCAAGCCAGCAGCAAAATACTGAGTGGAGCCAGTACCGGCCAGGGGGAGCCCCGAGAGTCACAGCAAGGGGAGATGCTTTGAGCTCATGGCTTGCTCACAAACTCTTGAATGACTCATCCTGTACAGGCATTAGAATCGCCTTAGCCAGGGATCTGATTAAAGCAATAAAACCCTTAAACGAAGAAAACCCTTAAGGGGCACATGGCAAAGCGTGCTGAGTCTGAGCAGCCACACGAGCAGGCTGAGGGAGCTCGCTCTGGGCGTCTCGGAGCCACACACCCCTTTGCCTTTCCTACTTTGGCTCTTGCCAGGCCTGTCTGTAGCTCAGCAGCACAGACGGGACAGGGCTGAAAGGGCTGTCTGTGCATGGTTTGGTCTTTAGCACCAAGGTGTTATTCCTCCTGCTGAGCACAGATCTAGCAAACAGCCAACACTCTCTGCTCCGTGGACCTGCAGATATCAGCGTCTCACCCCCAACTAGCCACAGCTCTGCCCTTTCCAGTTCCAGGCCTGAGGAGGTTTGGGTCTGTCCCTCTCCCCTTCCCAATCTGACGAGCGCAGGGCTGCTCCTCCATCAACCTTTATCATCTCAACCCTCTAACCTATCTGGCAGGGGATTTTCCATTAACAGCACTGGACCCCTTTAACGCCACCCACACCCACCAACCCAAGGCAGGATCTTCAGGGGGAAATCACCTCTCGGTACCAAACAGGCATCAAAAGCTACACAGAGTGGATCTTTCCTGCACTGACACACGCATCCTGCGACTTCTCCCGCACCCCTGGAGCAGGTCGGCCCCCTTACTCCTGGGTGTCCCTGTCACAGCCCAGCAGCCCCCTTCCCTGGCTCTCCCCACTCCCTCCCAGCCCCCTCTGGGGCTTATCAGGACAAACAAACGGTGATCACATTCCAGACTGATGCGATCAGACACAGCATCCGGGAGCTAATGCATCGCGTCGCCAGGGCAACCGGAACACTTGGGTTGACATGCCTGCATCTGAAAGCTTAAAAGATTATCTGTCAGCAATATAAACACTCCGTTTGGGTGTCTGCCATGCTCTGCTGTGAGGCATGGCACCCTGCTGTGGGTGCAATGCCTGAAGATCCCTGGGATTCACCTGAATCCTGGGGACTGGCACCCCTCAGCCATCCCCAGTCATCTCCCACCTTTAATACTGCAAAAACCTAAAGCTGAAGGCTCGCCAGCAATGCTTGTGTACCTGGCATCAGGACTGGGGTATTTGGCTGGGGGTGGGAAGGGAGGCTGGAGGCTGCTTTGAGTTGCAAAGCGAGGCAGGAGGATGCTAGACACATCCACTTCAGGCTTCAGACATTTAAATGTTTTCCCAGCACTACAGAAACATGCTTTGACAACAAAGATGCTGGCACGAGTGAATGCTGCATTAACAAAGTCTCCATGCCGGTGCCCTCCTCATGGCCAAGAATAAAGTCTCCAAGCAATGCTGTTCCTTCTGAAGGGACGGCAAAGCTTCACACTTGCTTTGGAGACCATTTTCCCAGCCCACAGCTCTGACCTAGCTCCCTACCTTGCAAGCTAAGCAAGTTTTAACCGAGGCACTGCTGGCGTGCAGAAATGCCGCTAGTGTTGCAGGTAGCCACGGAACTAAACCGACCCGAGGTGTTTTGCTCCAGCTGTGCATGCTGACACTGCCAAAGTGGCACCAGTAAAAGCTACAGAGCCTCCTGCGCTAGGCACTGTTTTACTCCCAAACAGGAAACAGGAGCTCAGGGGAAACCCGTGATGCTCCCAGCAGGTAAATCAGATGCTCAAACAAAAGACAATCTTTCCACATTAATGTTCAGATAAGCCCCAGTGATTATTCTTTCAAATGAGAGCATAAGCAAGTTTCCACACATCTCCGGTGAAGGTAACACTAATGAACCACACTCTGGGAGCATCCTGAGCGACGCTTGGACATGTCCCTAACACAGCAAGTGTAAGGACACACTAACAGCAGCAAGTGCTGTGATTACCTGACTTCAAATCCACCTGAAGATACCAGGCTGCCTTCACCAGAAACTGGCAGGGAAGAGAAAGAGTTGCACGAGATTGCCCCTTGCCAGTCCCCAAGATGCTTAAATCACAGCTCGGAGAGGAAAGCTCTGTGTTTCAAGAGAGATTTAGCAATGCTGCACACCCCCAACAGTGGGTGAAAGAAGCGTATCCAGCTCCTGGGTAACACACTTGCAGGACCGAGGAGGACAGATCCCAACTCTGAGCACCATCCCCTTTTCCGCCTTTTTGGAAAGGGCCCCCTGCCTGGGACTGGGAGGGATGGGGCTGGAGGGCTGCGGACTGCTGCAGCGCTGCCCAAAGGACAGCAGTCACCCCGCGGCGCTGGGGACAAAGTCCCACCCTGGCAGGGAGTGGCATGGGATGGTCAAGACCCCAAGCCACACTGCAGGACCAGAAGGTCACAGGAAGGTGCTCAGCATGAGCTGCTGAGCAATTCCTGCTCTGACAGTCCCCCACCAAACCAATCCATACCAGAAGGACCCTTGACTCCAGGACCGGGAAAGATACAGGGAACATAAAAGATACTCCAGGTGAATGAGGAAGCGGATGAGGGGAAGGGGTCTTTCCATCTCCCTCCCTCTCCACTCACCCTCCTCAAAACAGTGCAAACGGTTTAGAAGGCAAACAGCTTCACACTGACAAAAATTTGTGCTCCACAAATTGCGGTCCAAATCCTTCCCCTCCTTGCTACCTACGGGAGTGCCAGCAGCTACAGGCTGCTAAATATAAACCTCTCGGAGAGGAAGTGGGGTAGGGGTAAAAATAGCACCGACAACGCTAACTGCCTCTGCTGCTATGCACAAGCCTGCCCCGTACTCATTATCCTTACGGCTCTGTGCAACTGTGGCTGTTTTTTCCAGCTAGACCTGGCCCTACTTGGCGTCTGGTGATGGAGTTCACATTAAAGGATTTGGCAGCCTGGAATTTATGGGACTATTCTTGTTCTCAGCCCCTCACTCCTCCCAGAGAGGAATGTGTCCTGCCCCGAGTGGCTATTTGGATCCAGGTGCCCTAAAGCTGGGATTTGCTCCCCTCCCGCAGCCTGCATGCTAGAAGGCTGCAGCACATCGCATGGGGCAGGTAGTGCAGGGTCCCCGGTGGGCATCCCTCCCCGCACACTGCCCTGGGCAGCGCCCCGGGGTGCGAGGGGCTTCGTCCACCCTCCAGCTGCGTTTCTTCTGAGAGAGGGCATCCCCTTTTACAGCTCAATGGAGCAGCCCAGCCCTCTCTCCCAGCCCAGATTTCAAAGGAAGAATTGCTAGTGACTGCCTCTTGTTTTCCACCATGTTTAGTGTACTAAAGGAAGTGGAGACATTATTGACTTTCTGAGAGAAAGTGACACTTGCTAAGCAAAGCAATGACATCACTTGTTTTACAGCCTGAAGGATCTCGAAGAGAATTACAGGAACCCTGAACTGCAGTTATCTCTGGGACGGAAGAAGCTGGCTGAATAACAACATGCAGAAACATGATGTTGCATGGTAGGACATGAAGGGAAGAAGCAGTCTAAAATGGCAATAAGGAATTTAGGCATCAAAAGGCAAAAATTAAATCACTCAGGCTGGAATTTGGCCAAGGAACAGGGATTAAAGCCAGCAGTGTGAATGATCTGCATTTACTGTAATATAGTCAGATAGTAAATACTTGGCTAAAACACTTCAAAGAGCCCAAAGCTGAATCCCGTCAGGAAAGCTCGTCACATGATCAAGACAAGATGTTAACGATTCTTTAAACCCTGCATTCAAAGCTGTATTCACTGCACCAGCAATAACCGCGCTCACTATTTTTCAGCGAACTATTCCCACAGGCATTCGTGCTGTGACTATCCACATGAATCTCTCGTGCATTTGTACAGCAAAACCCGCTGGCTCTCCGCTGCGGAATTCAGGAGACAGGTATTTTAGGCACAGACAAGCCATCATCAGCGTATGAAACTGTCCCTTTTCTCCTTCAGCGTATTGCAGCGGCTTGGAAGCAAGGCTTTCAAGCAATAACCACTTTATTGCTTTTCACAAATGATAAGCGCCTCCATTTTTTTCTTACCATTTTAACAGACTCCTGCCCTCGTTTCCTAGCTGAAAGGGTGGAAGGCTCGGAGGGAATAGTATGCTTTTTTTAAGCTTGCTTTTTTTTATCCCCAGAGAGATTAACAGTTGTGTTTACAAGGCAAAATGAACAGTCCCATTCAGTAGTTACGGCTCACGCTTCTAGCTATTAGGTAGCATTGATTCACTCCTGCAAGTACCAGAGAAATGGTGAATTCTGCTCATAGAGCCTTGTTTGCTCTGCAAACACAGCTATCATGCAACGCTGCATGTGGCTATGGGGCTAAACAAACAATGAATCAAGGCACCAGTAGACTACGTGCCCCTCCTCACATTGCAAGGCATGGAGACAAAAGTCAGAG